AAAGCGTATTATATAAGGAAGATTATTAAGAACACATGATTTAGTGTAAAATATATTAATTAATTATTATCGATTTGAATTATTTAAATCGAACGCTACGTTCTCTCAAAGACTGAATTGACTTTGTTTTTGGCACTTTTGGTTCCGTATCTTTAAAACGGCTGGACCTGTGTTGGCCAAAAACTAATCAGCACGTCCCCTTATCAATAAAAATCGAATGTATTTTGAATTAAGCTTGATCTGTGTTCGCAGAATCGTCGACAAAAATTTGTATTCAAAAATGCACACATACATCCATTTTTTCTAATTGTAAGGTATGCCAAAGTGTTCAGAAACGTAAAAATACATCACAATTTTCATTTTCGATTTTTTTGCGATTACTTTAACTTACCCCACTGGATCTTAATAAAAGTTGATCTAGGTCTATCTAAATTATAATGTGTTTATTACTAGGTAAATAGGGCGTCTTAATCATATCGATTTTGTAAAACTTCTACAAGCTCTCCGTCTAAAAATGACGCGTCGACGCGATTCTGCGGTGAAATTGAGAGTATACAGAAATGTCTCCGCTTCACAAATAAGACGACAAATTCGCATACAAACATGCATACATACAACCGCATTCTGATATCAGAGTTAGAAAATTTCATTCACTTACACCTCATGACTATGAGTCACACGGTCACACCTGCCTGGCCCGTTCATGCGTTTCGCGTCGTTTCATCTACATATCGCCAAGAAAATTAAAAAAAAAAACAAATTTAATAAATCTTCAATTTTTATTTTTTCAAAATATTCAATTTTACTCTAAAAAATTAAAATAAAACTATTGGTGCATGGCATCGTTAAGGCAAATTGTTGAAACTTCCAGTACCAAACATTATTTTTTTTTAAAAAGCTTTAAAATTTTTTGAAAAGTTTGAAAAATGAGATTTTAAAGACTTTTGCAACTTTAGAAAATGACTTTTCTTGAAAAGTTTGATTTTTTTTAAATGTATACTTATTATTAAAATTTGTATAAAATATCTTATAATTTTATGTGCATACGTCTAAGAAACATTTTTGACCGCCAAATGGCATTTTCGATTTTGCGATTACTATAATTTACCCTAAGGGAAGTTAACTGGTGGTTTAATTTATTATTTATTTATTTCAGTCTAACAGCCTAGAAATACATCAATTTCTTAAGCCACAGTAATACCTTAAACCTACTTTATATACAAAAAAGAAAAACCCAATCTATTAACAACTAGTGCTTTAATAAACATTGAGAAAAACGGAGTATATAGACAATTATCTAAATTGTCCTTTTTCGAAAAATGTGAAAAAATTGAGAACTGAACTGTTTAAAATTTGAAACTCAATATTACAGAACTAATATATTATTTAAATCCAATTCGAATTTTAATATAACTGAAAAAAACGTTTTATGCTAGTTCTAATGTAATTCATATTTACTGGAATCTAGGTGCAAATTCTTAAATTTTTTGAAAACAATTGAATTAATTGCAAGTAATGTTCAAATTGATTGGCTACAAAGGAGTAACTTTTGAAATTCTTCATATATTTAGTCGATCCGATTCGATTGATATATTAATTCGATTAATCCAAAATTTAGAAAGAAAATTTACATTATTTTCATTTCTATTTTACTCATAAGTACTCTTTTTTGCCTCCAATGAGCAAAATAATTAATGTCATATAAAAAATTAATAATTCCAATTATATATAATAATGCATGAGCAAAGCTTTGTTTTTTGAGCTTTTGCGCAATTATAACTAATGCGTTTATAAAATTGGTCATTATTATTGTATAGTTATAGTTTAATATTCATTTAATTTAATAACTTGGATTAGCATTTCTAAAGCAAAATATTTATTTATTTATTTCATAAATAATTATTAACATTTAAACATTAATTGTCGTGCACTTTTAAAGTACGCAGAATTAAATATATAAATATTTAAAATATAATCATTTCATAAATATTTTTTTTTAACTTCCCGTAGGGCAAGTTATAGTAATCGCAAAAAAATCGAAAATGAAAATTTTTGCATTTCTCGACGTTTCAAAGGTTTCTGAATATTTTGGCATACCTTAGAAAAAATGGATGTGTGTGTGTGTGTGTGTGTGTGCGTGTGTGCATGTATGTGCGGATACAAATTTTCGTCGACGATTTCGGGAACACCGATCAACCGATTTGAATAATTCAAAAAACATTCGATTCGTATTGATAAGGAGACGTGCTGATTAGTTTTTGGCGAAGTCAGGTCTAGCCGTTCCGAAGATACGGGGCAAAAAGTGCCGAAAACGGTAACTCAGTTTTTAAGAGAACGGAGCGTCCGATTTGAATAATTCAAAAAACATTGTATTTGTATTGACTAAATGAAGAACTGTTCAAATTTTTTGAGAGGCAGGTCTAGCGGTTTCGGAGATCTAGTAAAAAAAGTAAAAAAAAATGCCATTTGGCGGTCAAAAATGATCATTAGACATATGCACATCAAATCATCAGATATTTTATAGAGATTTCAACAATAAGTATAATTTTGGTTTACATTCCTATGGGTTCCGTACCAATGTTCATGCGTTAGACGGCGACGCGGCGCTTACGCGGTTTGATATTTCGTCTTTATGCAGTTAAAGCAGTACGATCGCTTTGAAAAAAAGTTTAGATTTTTCAAAATATGTCAAAATAGAGAAAACATTTTTCTTTCAAAAAAAAATTAAAAAAAAAATTAAAAATTTTTTTTTTTCAAAAGAAAGTAATTTTTTGTCTAATTGTTTGTCAAAAATCTTATTTTTTCGAAGTCAATTTTTTTCAAAAATGTTAATCGTTTTTAAAAAAATAATAATTTTTGGTACGGGAAGTTCCAGCAATTTGCCTTAAGGCACGATGCCTTAATTGCCTTAAGACAGAATTCCACTTACAGCTAGTTCAATATTTTCATTATAATATTTTACCGACCTGACTATCAAATATTAATTCCCTTTTGAACCTCATATCGTTTTATTGAATAAAAGTCCCTTTCCTTTATTCTTGTATTATTCTTTGTTATATCGCCAGAAAAAGGTAGTTTCTTAGTCTGTTTACAATGTATTAAGTTGCTTAATTTAATTCCGACTATGCTAAAATAGATAAAGTTTGTTCTAAAAATACTTATACATTGTTGAATCATGCGATGAAGTGTCGACGGAGGTCTTTGCCAATTTGAAAGAAAATTACGTTCGTATGCAGGGGTCGGCAACCTTGCCTAAAAATCATTCTTATTGATCAATTATTATAAGAGCATTTGAAGTTACGAATATTAAAATTTAAATACTAAATATTTTTAAAGTTGAACGCCGCCAATATATTTTAGATCTTAGTTTTTTTTTTTAATTTTTGGTATTTAAATTTTTCTAGGTTATATGTTATAAAAAATAATGGTTAATAGTTTTAAAATGTTCAGATATTAAATAGCAAACAGTAGAAATATGCCATATTAAAAAAAGTAATGTAATTTTTTTATATTCGATAATGACAATATATTTATTTAAAAATTAATAAATTACATTCTTGCAATAATTTATTTTTCCATAAACAAAATGCATAAGTTAATACGATACTAATTATTTTATTAATTTATAAGAAATTTAATGCGATACTAATTTCTTATTAGTTATAAAAAATGTAAAATAACTGCAATATTGATATTTTTTTTTTAAATTGAACCATTAATTTGAATGAATTAAATAATTCTTTTTTGTAAAAGACACAATATCTTAATTCAACTATTAAGTTTGTAATAATGACATATTTGTTTTAAGAAATAAACTAACGTTATGATGATTCAAAAATAGTTAATTTATTTTATAACTTTAATTACATTTCAGTTTTTTATGTACTTGTTTAAAATATTTTATTAATGATCATATAATTATTTCATTTCAATATCAATACAAATTGTAGAGTCGTTTAACAACTAATGAACTAGCCTAATCAATATTAATCAAAATAATTTGTACAATTACTTTAAATAATTCAGAGAAAAATGTTTAATAATGTTATTCCATAGCAATTTATTCAAAAAAGTTAAAAGTTTTACGAGAATGCAGCTTCAATTCTTTTATCCTAAATATAATGACTGATAATACTATGACACACAACTTTAAAAATTTTGATATTACTTTATCTTTTTCCCTATTATGACGACAAGACAAAGTTTTACATTATTAATCTACTGGATAATTAATGACGTCTTCCAAATAAATAATCTGAAATCACTTCCATTTCTTATCAAATGCGTATAAAAGATATAATACGAATCATAATTCCATATAATTTTAATTGTGTTATTTAACAAGCAGTTAGTTATCAGTTTAAAATTTTCTACAAATCATAGATATTGATAGAATTTTAATATATACATAAAATCACCAAAGGTTTAAGTTGCACTGTAGAAAATATAACAATATTAGAATTTTCGTAAAACTCGGCAACTCTGCGTCATAAAATTTATATTTTATATAATATAATCATTATATTTATTTTTCAAAATTTAATTGACTTTAACACCTGTTACTTTTGATATTAACAATGTTATGATTTAAATTTTATGTATTTGATTAAATATTCAAATAGTCGTGTGATTTATTATTTCCTAATTAATTTTTCATATTTTATTTGTAATTTTTATTTATTGTATTATTTATAGTACATGTTTTAATTTTCTTATTTTTATTATTTATATTTTATATCGTATTTTAAACAATTATCGTATTTTAAACGTACTATGTACGCGTACAAATATATATAAGAAGATCTGGGAATATTTTGCAAAACTCAAATTGTTTTTTAAGTTTCCGTTGATAATCTTGAACCGATATTGAAAATTTTGAAAATTTTAAAATTTTAAAAATCCAATTATTCAACAGGTTTAAATTTTCAAAAACTTTTATAACATTATAACAATTTTATTTGATAACTTTATATACATTTATATTTAATATATAGACTCACCTGTACGGAGTGTCGAGATCATAGAAAGCAGCCCTTTCACTACTCTTCAGTTGAAACAATGGTTGCCCGCGACTTGCTTTTCGTACCTGTAATTATAATTGAGATATAGAGCTAAAATAATATAGCATATTTACAATTTAATGAACTGCTATTGAACATAATTTAAAGAGTTTCTAAGCAATAAATGAATTCAAGTGATATATTGAGAAAATTATGGCATATTATTATTAAGCAAGAAGTTACATAAAAGAGCATCATCTCCAAGAACATGACGTACCAATGGGTGGTTCTCTAAAACCATTATACCTAGGTTAAGTCTCAGATTATTTACTAAATGTCTTTTAATTATAAGACAAATTGTAATTGAAATATGAATAAAAAAAATCTCCGAAAACACCCATACAAACAAAGCATTTTTTTGGTTTAAATCCAATAACCATATTTCTAAAATTCCCGTAAGATAAGTTATACCATAGGTTCTCAAACTCGTTTGTGTCGTGGACCCGTTGCGATGTTTTTCATTTTGTTATGGACCCCCTTTGGTGGCCATACGTCCCGGTTTTGCTGGGGCAGTCCCGGATTTCCCAGGTCTAGTGATTTGGCTTATTCGAAAACCGATATTCGGCCCGGATTGTGCCGGGTTTTCGAAAAATATAGATTTAAATTGAATCTTCGCAAGTGCTTGATAATAAAATTCTACTCAATAAACTATCAAAATAAACTACCCTTCAAATATCTGTAAATGATATATACAATGAGTATTCTCACATCAATCTATTCGTTATGAATGAGAAAATTGCCGAATGCAAAATTCCAAAGACAGGTCAAAACTGCATTTCACATTAATCTGTATGGAGAAATTCCTCCATACTGTGATTTAAGTCAGATGTTGAATGTAGCTTGAAACGTACTCAGTTTGTCCGTAAAAAAATTTCAAAACTTTGTAATTATTTTCAAAACTTCATCAGATAAATATTATTTCAATTTCGCTTATTATTTCAATACGCTTTAAATTAAAATTAAAATTTAACTTTAAATTAAACAATTTTTTTACATCACTAACCCAGGTGGAACAAATAACTGCTACAATAATCAGAAACATCATTAAGCACTACCAAAACGAAAGCATTTGTCAGTGAACATTTTATATAAGCAGCTTTCTTCAATGATCAACCCAGAATTTATTTTTACCAAATGTTCACCAAAGCACAAAATTACCTGTGTACAATTTGACATTTAGTTCAAAACACTTCACTTCACGACTACAATGCAAAGCATAGCTTTAGTGAATCCAAGAGGCAAAAAATTCTATAAAGTTGCCCAAAGTTCCAAAAAGAATTGCGAACAATCATGTCCAGGCCAAGCTTTGCTGGTTCTGACCATTTCACCGATAATTAGTCACCTATAGCACAAAAACTTTAAGAGATAAAAACAATTTTGTAGCCAATAATCAACAAACATACAAATTAGGATTGGTATTTTATACATTAAATTTCTATTTTTAAGATTTTATGGAAAAATAACCTTGATTTTGATGACTGCTGTCATTCTATTCTATGCTTTATGTTATATCAAAACTTTAACGCTTTAAATTATCGAAAAAACTTATTACAGACAAACAAGGGTAAGAGAGAGGGCAAACCAGATTTCCTCAAAACAAATCACAATTAAATAAAATGTAACTATTCCTCCAATTTATAATACGTGACACGGAGCGATTCCGAAAATGCAGAAACCATCCTCAATTAGATAGTTTAAAACAAATTGCTTCAAATTGCGCTCAACGAGAAGAAGAATTGATTTTAAGGTTTTTAAAAGCGAGATCATGTCGAGTATTGATAGAATCAAATGTGTGGGAAAAGTTGATTAAACGATATCTGTGTTACACTTTGTCAAATTGTCTATTGATCCATCATATTTAGTATCTATAAATTCTAAAACAGTCTTTAAAAGCGCAAAAAGTCTTGCAAAAAGCATTTCAACAGCCAGCTTATATAAAACTTACGCGTTTTCCATACATATGTAATGTTTTTCTTAACTTTTTGTGGCATTTCTAAATATGCCGTGGACCCCCATTTATATTTCGTGCACCCTTAAATTTTGTTTTCGGTGCCGTGAATCCCTGGGGGTCCATGTGGACCATTTTAGAAGCACTATGACTTATAATAAGCATTAAAAAATCAAAAAAAAATTTTTTTATATTTGGCATATCTTACAAAAAAGTGATGTATGTATGTATAGATACAATGTTTCGTCGGCGTTTTCGGGAGCACCGATTAACCGATTTGATTTATTCAAAAAACATACGATTCCTATCGCTAGAGAGATGTGCCGATTAGTTTTTGGCAGAGACAGGTTTCGGAGATAAGGAGCAAAGAGTACAGAAAATACAAATTAATTTTTTGAGAGAACAGAGTATCCGATTCGAAATAATAATAAAACATTCAATATGTAATTCAATGTGATACGCCATTATTAGTTTCTGGCAAAAATAGGTCGAGCCATTTTGGAGATACGGAGCTAAAAGTGCAAAAAAATGGCAGTATTTAAAAGGACGAAAGATCTGATATCTGAATTTTTTAAATAACATTTTGCTTGTGATGACAGTATGAAGAAATTTTTAGTTTTTGGGAAAAGCAAAATAATTTTTGATATAGAAATTAATATTCTTTTTTTTGTATTTTCAAAAAAAAAAAATAAGTATAGAATATTATTTGGATTTTAATTTTAATTCTAGCTAAAATTCTAAAGTTCACTAATATACTTTAAATAAATAATTTTAACTTTGAAATTTAGTTAATAAGCATATACATAGTTGGTAATTCTTAGAAATATGGTGCAAGTCTTTCATTCTAACTCCGCTTGATTAAGTTTTGTTTATTTACTTTTCATGCAAGCTTATTATAAACGTCATCATCCAATTTATAAGCTACAAAAGCTTTTGTTTACAAAATACGAACAATAAAAGCTACAGCATTTATAATAATCTATTTGAAAACATTTAAAATTCCTCGAATATTTATTTCATTACGAAAGGAAAAGTTCCAGCAATGTTTCTTAAGGCACGATGTCATGCAGTACTAGTTATGATTATCATTATGAATTATTTAAACTAATTTATGGCCTAACATATAATAATTTTATGAGCACATTTTTCACAAAGATAACACTGTATATAATTTTGACCTGGAATTAATTTAATCGACTTAATTTTCTTTTTTATTAACTATTTTTATTGTTCACACCTTTTGTCAGGGAAAAACTTCAGTTGGTCCTTTTCACCCCACCCCCCATAAGCTTTTATAAGGGTTATATAAGAAAATCTAACTTACAAATAACAATACAAATTACAAAACAATTAAACAACGTATATTTAAGTATTATATTAAGTTCTAATTAACTAAACAACAGTGCTCATAACCGAAAAAACTAACAATGAAAGAAAATACTTTTATTATAAATTTTCAAACATTGCTGTTTATCTCCTGATTAATCTTTGGTTTGAGTTTGACTTTGGTTGATTTGAGGCGATGACTGATTACACATATTTTTTTCTCTACTTTTAAATAATGTTATTAAAAAAATTTACTTTATTTGTTTTTGAGAAATTGGTGGTGGAGCTTTTTACCCGGGATTTTTAAGCCGCCCTATAAACTATAGTAATTGAAATTCAATAGAATAAAGTTAATTTGTCAGATTTGCGTGGTTAGAATTTAAACCCAATAGATGACAGTATTATATTTTACGACATGATTAAGGTGACCATATTTTTCTGCATAAAATCCAGGACGGATTAGAACGCGTGGGAAAGCGGGGGGGGAGAGGGTGATTTTCCGGTTCAAATTTTCTAGCTGAAATATATGTGAAAAATAATTATTAAATATTTGCAATTCAAACATTTTTAAAAATCCGGGACAATCCGGCACAAAACACCTACAACCGGGACAGTTATTGCTTTTAGAAAAAACCAGGACGCAAGGCGGAAAATCGGGACTGTCCCGGCCAATCCGGGACATGTGGTCACCTTATACATGATGCAAAACCTAATATTTATTACATCATATTTCTAGTTAAAAAAAAATATAAAAATAACTACTAAAAATATTTCTTTTACAAAGCCATGCGATATTTCTACCTGTGTTTTAAAAAAACTGACGAAGATTCTGGATTTCTGTTAATTAAAGTTTTTGCTAGGCGCGACTGTTGTTCGTGTTAGATCATCGGTGGTACAAAACTATGTGATGACTTTGATAGATCAAAAACTTTACTTAATATTTGTTATAGTAATCCAAAGTTTGACAGTAATTTATCAAAATTACTGAATGTAATTTGTCTAATTATAAGAATCATTGAATTATTCTCTAATTATATTGCAAAATTATTTCAACACTCCTCAGTTTCAAACAATGATATGTTTGTGAGCCTCAATTGTCTAATTAATAAAATTTGAACCTAAACTATGTAATTAAAAATTAAATTATATTCGGTTTTCCGTAAGCAAAGTTAGTACCTGCGATTGAAATATATATATGTATTATTTCTGTGCGACAACCAAATTATCAATACAATTGCTATTAAAAGCAATTTTACAAGAGATAATTTAAATATATAGTTATTCAATACTGCTGATGATCATTTCTGACGAAATACCAGATCAAGTTTATATACAGTGTTATCTCTGTAAAAAACGTACCCATGAAATTTATATTTTACATCATTAGTCGAATAATGTAGCTATTATTTCGTAAAATCTCTTTAAAATTAAAAATAAGACTTTGGACTTGTCCCCTGGCTGTCCTATTATGCCGGCAGTTAAGGATGGGGCATGGGACCTGTCGGAATAGTTTATTCTATTGTATATATTCCATAGCTATTAGCATTTGAAAATTGAGTATATTAAGAAAAATAAGGTTATTTTGCTAGAAGTCTAGAAAGTTCAGCTTGCTCGGAATACTGACATAATGCCGTAATAATGTTGGTAAAACCTTTCCAACATATTAAGTAAACTATTTTTTTCTTCTTAGAAATGAAAATAAAATATTATAATAAGATTAGTTTTATTATGTGTAAAATTTGCAGAAAAATT